AAACAGACCTTTAGGTCAGGCTTTCAAAATTGGTTTCACTGTCAATTGTTCGTATGTACTGGGCGATCATGTACAGAATTTTTGAAGGGGATTGGACGACGGTAAGCAGGGTCGTTGGAGTCGGTACGACTGGTACGACCATAGCCATACCACTTCTGCCGACCGGTGGTCAACGTGAAAGGCTCAGACAAGCAATAAAAAAGTTTCGAAACTTGGAGATTTTTCCAGCGTCGATCGCGCGTCGTACTTGTACCCCTAGGTCCTGTGCCCTACAGGCTACCAGACTCTTGTGCTAAGTTTGAGTGTACGAGTCGTAGCACCTTAAAAAGTTCTCATTTATTGTACGGTAGATCTCTATGTACGGACAATCGCCGCTTGTCGCGTGAAAAGCACTCTTAAATGTTCTCAACCAGCATCTGCGTTGCTGTATGACCTATTACTATTTGTGCTTTGGCATGATTCATGGCTTATTTGACGGAAGTTGCAGAATGCTGCACTTGCTGTACAATGTTCAAGATATGCATCAGGGGTGTTTCTATTGCATGGAATCCCAAATTTTTCTAACTCGGGGTTCCACCCCCGCACCCCCGCAAGGGGCTCTGCCCCCTTGACCCCCCCCCCCGCCCCAGCCATACCACTTGCCAACAGCCTCCAACGACCCTGGTAAATGAGTGACAAAGGGATGGGAAAGATGCACACCCTCCTAATGTGCACAATATCAAAAAGCATTTCTGTGAAGATCATTGCCACTTTGCTCCTCCTTAGTTACTTGTCTATGTCCGGACCACTGTGGGATTGATTTCTGGCGAAAGCCTGATCCATACTTTCGTTTCGCGTACGTGAAAAACATCGTGTCGTGAAAAAGTTGATCTGAGCTCAACTGCTTCGCATGAAGTAAATGAAGTATAAATAAGCCGGACTTCCTTTTTGTAGTTGTACTAGTTTGGCTGCTTGCTGAGTCCCACACACTTAATGATCCGATGATTTTCATTCTATCGACCCTCAAGCACAAGATAACACAAGCACCTAGTCTAGTGCAGTGCACTGGTTCTTGTGCTGGTCAGCACAGCAGCTGAGCTGTCAGTAGGGTATCGGTGGATTTTGAAAATTGCTCCGATAACGACGATTTAGTCTTATGGGATGCAATAGGATCTAGACTGAACTAGACATGCGGCAAGCCAGCGGGAGTGTATTCCACCCAGCAGTGCCCAAATAAGATATTCCTGGGGAAGCCGATTCTGTGCTAGGCTTCTTGTCACATCAGGCTTCTATTCACACCAAGTACTTCAGGTATGATAATTTTCTATGTATGTCAACACTAGAACCAGGCTTATACGCAGACATTGTATCACGAAAAGAATGTGTATATTCGAGACAGGCTTCTATATGAGATAGGCTATATTCGAGACAGGCTTCTATATGAGATAGGCTATATTCGAAACAGGCTTCTCTATAAGATATGCTATATTCGAAACAGGCTTCTATATGAGATAGGGTATATTCGAAACAGGCTTCTATATGAGATAGGCTATATTCAAAACAGGCTTCTATATGAGATAGGCTATATTCGAAACAGGCCAATTTAGCCCTATAAAGATCAGTCTATTCTTATTATTCTTTCATTCAACATATATTTTGCCTCCACTGATGAGCTTAGGAGGAGCGAAACAGCTGTCTGGAGGGTCATTGTCAATATCAATTATAGCAATAAAAACTGCTTTATGGCAGTTTTCTAAAAAATGTTATTGTGTTCTAGTCCATGGACCCCGTCTAAAAAGTAAGAAATTAACGAAATGTGATAGCCGAAAATTAAAATTTCACACAAAACCTCACAATAATCACAACAGTTGAAATGCTGCTTTCAACACTAAACTTGTACTGCACCAACAATTGGCAACATGCATGTCATGCATGCATAGGAAAGAGGATCACGAGGGGAAAAGGTCTTCTACATGTAGCTTTTCATTCTGTGTGTGATTATTGTGAGGTTTTGTGTGAAATTTTAATTTTCGGCTATCACATTTCGTTAATTTCTTACTTTTTAGACGGGGTCCATGGACTAGAACACAATAACATTTTTTAGAAAACTGCCATAAAGCAGTTTTTATTGCTATAATTTCTTTTGTTTTTTCTGTCACCAATCAATGGAATGCCCTATATCAATATGTAAATGATTGCCTTCATATCATATCAATACCGTATTATACGCATTGAGGTGCAAGCCTTTTCTTGCAGAAAATGGCACTAGGCTAGCATGTTCTTCTGCGGGGAAACATGTGAGTAGTGATGGACCGTGGTGATACTTTTTTTATGCGGAGGTCATTCTGTGCATGTTGCTGTAGCAGAATTTCATGACTGTCATAATAATAAAAATTATCTAGCCTTTCAGATATTTCAGATTTCCCCACCCTCAATCAGATTTATTTGAGAAATGTAACCAGGTGCATGTCGCAGATGTTTTTGTTGATTCTGTGTTTATAATGGTTTATAATCATGGGTTATCGAGATAAGGTCATCCTGCATCATATTGCACTGAGTTCGTAATCCTGTTGATGTCGATATAACTTTTGGAAGTAGTTCAATGACTTCAAACTGTTAGTCCACGATTTTCTAAAACAACACAGCAAAGGAGGAACAATAAACATGTATTAAAATGTAAACAAATACATTGCTGAGTCCGACACCTCATTCAGACAACTACACTGATGTGGATAAAAGGGGCAAGGCTATGCTTGGAGGTACTGAGAGATAAACAAGGCACTCCATAAATAATAAAATCTTACACATCTTTTGATGAGTATGAATGATATCAAGTCGAACCTCTTTAGGACGAACACCAAGGGTATTAAATTTTTTTTGTTCTGTGAGTTTGTCTTAACCTATTTTATATATAACCAGTGAATACAATTATTTCTCCAATAGACATACGAATAGATTTCTTCTACAGCGTATGAAACAAATGAGTCACTAGAGAGGTTCTGCAAAACGAAAATGCGTACAAACTTTCGTTCTACGTCATGAAGTGCGAAACTTCGCACGAACTTTCGCAACTTTGGACGCGAAACTTGCAGGGAACACGAAATGAACTGTTGTAGGAAATTTTGTGAGATCGGGTCATGGCGTACGTGCACTTGGCCCGCGCAAACTACGAAAATTTGCAGAACGCAAAGTTCGTGCAAAAATTCGTACACACTTTCGCAAGGACTGTCGAGAAACTTCGTTCGAATTTTCGTTTTGCAGAACCTCTCTACTGAACGTTTCTTTAGCAACATGACGGCAACTGAAACAGCAATAGAGAAAGTACGATACATATACAGCACATTCTTGCAGGTACTACAGACAGATTGCAGATCGTAATTCTTGCTTTGGCTGCACCAAACTTTATTTGGGGCAGTGCAATCTCGGCGGTACTCACAAATAATAAATCAAACAGCCCAGACTCGAGTAAACAAATCCAATCACACAAGTACGAGATCTTCACGAGACGAGACTGCACCCATTGGCTTGTTTCGTATGAAGCAAACAAGTTTACTGAACCTCTCCACAATGGAGATTTTCCCTGATACCGTATGCGAATTTATTTTGCAAACTCGGTCAATGGGTCCTTGAACCTTTCCCTCCAGATTGGGAACTGCCAACGATAGTATGCCACTGACCAGTGCCTTACTTGTAACGTACCAATGTACAATGAATATGAGTATTTCGACAACACATCTAACATGAGCCTTACCGTCAAGAAGGTGAACTCGCGTTCTTCGCACACTGTAGACAAGGGCAAAGAGATAAAAATGGATCTAAATCCGAATAAAATCAGCACACGTTTCCGTAAATGAAAGGGTGAGCATAAGCAAATGAATCGAAGGAAACTGGTCAACTCAGAGATCACCTGTCATCGAGTATTCCGTAAAAGGAGGCCTCGGCAGCGGAAAAGCTAAATTTAGAAAAGAGATCCTGTCAGCTTTTCCTTTATTTATTGCATTCCGCCCAAAATCAGCACACTTTTCGTAAATGAAAGAGTCAACACAAGCAAATGAATCAAAGGGAACTGGTCAACTCACCTCTCATTGAGTAATATTCCGCGAAAGCAGGTCTCAGCAGCGCCGAAACGAAATAAGCCAGGCCAGGAGACGAAATATCCGAAACAGCTCATACAAGAAGCAGTTCCAAAGAAGGAAGTTCCTCGCGCATGCACATCCGAACACGGACTGCACTGCAACACAATATCTGCCGGCTGCAGCCGTGCAAGTGCACAGCACGCGGCTACCACCCGTTGGTAGATCTAATACCGAGCACCTTACGTAGAGACTTACGTAGCCTAAGTGAAATACCGAGCACCTTACGTAGAAACTTACGTAGCATAGCGATGTCGT